ACATTATCCCAAACACGCCTAACACACGTGATGATGGATTCAGATGATGGGAGAGATCAATACCGTCCGTCCGTCCGTCCGTCGCATAGCACACGCAAATTAGCATTATGAAGGTGTCAATACAAATATATTGATGTCAGGTTGGAGGCCGTGCAAATCAGGACCGGAGAGACAACTAGTTTGCATAATAAGAACATAATGGGTGTGTGCGTTTGCGTGTGCGTGTGCGCGCGTGTGTGTGCGTGTGCGTGTGTGCGTGTGTGCGCGCGTGTGTGTGCGCGTGTGCGTGTGTGTGCAGCACGATGGGATGATAAGCCATATTTTCCTCCCTTGTGTGCTAATGGCAAAAATCCCCCGGTAACTTGATTTGTGGAAGAAAAATCTCCCACAGCCAACCCCCCCCACCCCCCCCCCCCCCCCCGCTCAAATTCACCCCCCTCCCCCCCTCCCTCCCTCCCTCCCTCCCTCCCCCCTTTCTTCTTCCATTAAAGGCGTCTAAATTAATTTGCTCCGTCGTCGTTAGAGGGCCGAGCGGCTGAAAGAGCGCGCTGTCAAAGTTCACCAGTGACTCGGCCCTTTGTCACGCTGTCAGATAAACCGCCGTCAAGGTCGTTGCCTCTCCTCTCCCCCCCCCCCCCTCCTCCTCTTCCTCCTCCTCCTCCTCCTCCTCCTCCTCCTCCCTGAGGAAGACCACCACCCCCCCCCCCCCCCCCCCATCCCTCCTTCTCCTTCCCCCTAACATCTCTCCCCTCTTATTTTTCACCCAGGAATATGCTGCCTTTCGTTGCCTTGTTCATGGTCCACCTCTACCCTCTCCGTTGTTTTTTTCCATATATATATTTCTCTCCCCCCATCCCTCCCCTCCCTCCCCTCCCTCCCCCCCCCCCGGTCTTCACTCCCACTTGTCTTATTTTACAGACCACTTTCACAACCTCTGTCCTCCATGTTTTCCTTTGACCCTCTGACCACTGGGGACAGCTGCTTGAGTTGGTAAAGCTGCCCCCCCCCCCCCCCCCCCCCCTTTCCAATACCTGCTCCACCTTGAGGACCAACTCCACCTTCTCCTTCTCCCATGGACTCTCCTCACGCTGAACAGGTGCTTTCACCACCACATCCATTACCCAAGCGGGCTTGCAACCCACTGGCTCATGAAGCGAACTCTGAGTATTCACCCATCAGTCTCTCCGGTACTTATATTACCCAGAAAGCGTGATGAGGTGATTTACAACCAAAATGGACGAAACACAAATAACAACACGAACGCCGAATCCCCCAATGCTCCTCAATTAAACTTTTAGATACACGACCCGGAGCAATCGGAAAACAAAATGAAAAGCCGCTGACAGATGGACATCCATAATTCTCCTCTTTGTCGGAGGCTTTTTTGGCCACCTTGGTCCGAGCATTAGCCGTTTGTGAAACGCAGCTGATTCAGCTGCGACCCGGCGAGGCTTGGCAGCGGACCTGCTGGCCGAGATCCACATCAGCTCCACCCCCGCCGGGGGGGGGCAGAACCAAATGCTAATGAGATTGACAGGCACGCCGTCCCCACAATGGCCAGGAAGACTCGGGGGGGATATGTTCAGCAACGACCATCTTCTTTATTTACCTATAGGGTCAGAAGGTGTAACTGGGGTCATACAGGTGGAGGTTTCTGTGGTGGAGCCCAGATCTGTAACATCTAGGCGTCCGTTTCCTCCATCCACGCCTTTCTTGCTCCTCTCCCTTTGTACTCTGAATTACCGACCGGTCCCCCGGCTCCACCTCTCCACCTCCTCATCTTTAACTTCTCCTCCTGTGAGCTCTCCTCTCCTCTCCTTAGCTCCTTGTCCTAGTCTGTTTCCCTCTTCACCTAACTCTCCACTCTCCTGCTTCTCTTTCCAACCCCCTGCGTTTCTCTCTGCTCTCTCTCTCTCTCTCTCTCTCTCTCTCTCTCTCTCTCTCTCTCTCTCTCTCTCTCTCTCTCTCTCTCTCTCTCTCTCTCTCTCTCTCTCTCTCTCTCTCTCTAACAATGTCCTCTCCTTTGACTCGTTGACTCTCCCTGGTTACTCTCTTCTTGGCTACATTTACATTTTTCCATCACTTTTCACTTTTGCTGCTCCTCCTCCTCCTCCTCATTTTAATTTTTGCTCAATCTAGTATTTGTATTAATCCTCTCCATCCATGTTCCACGCATATTTGCATCTAAATCATGTTCTTTTTCTTCTCTTCTTCTTCTCAGTTTAACATTTTACTTGAGAGAGCATGAAGAGCTACTTGAAAAAATGAAAAATGATGTGTGTGTGTGTGTGTGTGTGTGTGTGTGTGTGTGTGTGTGTGTGTGTGTGTGTGTGTGTGTACTTCCTCCGGGCAGAAAACGCCAGCGAAGCCGCGAGTGACGGACGCAGAGCAGAGAGGTGGAAAGTAAGACGCAGTGAGAGCGCGAGACGGGAGGACGGTGAGAAAGAGATGAAGACGGAGAACCAGGGACGGCAAGAAGGAAGAGGAAAAACAAGCCACGCCTCCACATCCCCTTTGTTTGGGGTTTTCACCGAACCGCGTAAACACACTGAACACCACCAGCGCTGAAACCCTATATCTGGCTTTTAAAGACCTTCTCCTCAAGCACCTCCAGTCTTTAAGCTTTCACTTCTGATTACCGCACAAGTCTTCAGGAGGATTCGACTGAGAGCGTTGGGAAGGAGCAGCAGCTTTGCATGCATCATGTATATGGCGGTGCTGACGTGCGCGTGCACAGAGAGGTTTTAGTGCGATCACTGATTCCAAAAATGGTCTCATAACAATATTGTATAACAATATAACACAACAAGAAGTAGCCATGTGTGTGCCAGCCTTTTTTTTTTTTTTGGCATTAATGTTAGCGCAAATATAGTTTTCAATCTGCAATTTTTTGCCATTCCCACCGTCTGGTTTTTATAATACTGTTGCATCCGGTCTACGTAATAAAATATGAAGGCTACTTTCTATTATTAAGTCACTTGTTGTGTTACTTTTTCTCTTTCTGCTTCCTACATTTAGTCTCAAGCCATTCATGACCTAATGCCACCTCCAGTATCCATCATGCTATTATGCTGCTAATATTTTGTCCACAATATTTCTCCAATGACAATAATGACAAAGTAACAGTTGAGGGGGTAGCAGGAGGGGCAACCCATGATATATATGTATATGGTTTTTTTGCAAGGCTGATTGCAGTGGCGCTGGTAATCCAGCGGCGGCGCTGCACCACTGCTGGATGCGTGCGGGGGAAACACTGACCGTCATTATATATATATTTATATATATATATATATATATATATATATATATATTTGAGGGAGGGATGGATTGATATTAATAGTTCAACTCTCACCTCTCTCACCGACATGTGAACAAAAAACTGTACAAGTACTTACCACACAGTATTTTACCATTCCCATATTCGTACTACTACACCTTTCATTTAATTATTTCTATACATAGCTTTAGACAACGCTTGTTGCACACACGCACGCACGCACACACACACACACACACACACACACACACACACACACACACACACACACACACACACACACACACACACACACACACACACACACACACACACACACACACACACACACACACACCCTTTCCCCTCGGTTGTCATGGAAGCCAATCACAAGCTTGGAGCTGTTGGGTCCTTCATACTGCGGCACAAGCGTTCCTTTAAGGGAACGGTGATTAAAAAAAAAGGAAGTGCATGACCTACATACACGTTACACACACACACACACACACACACACACACACACACACACACACACACACTGCACAGAACACACACAGGCACACACACTGTAGGTAGCTATGCATGCATGCATGCATGTAGCTATGATACATACATACATACATACATACATACATACATACATACATACATACATACATACATACATACATACATACATACATACATACATGCATTAAACGCTGTGCTAAGCCGTCGTTAAGCATGCAGAGAAGACAGGTGGCAGAAATACGTTGACCCTAAATGCGTGAGCAATACAGCAACATGCGTTCACCAACTGATACACTGGACGCAATTATGTGTGTGTGTGTGTGTGTGTGTGTGTGTGTGTGTGTGTGTGTGTGTGTGTGTGTGTGTGTGGTACTCGCTCTAATCTTTTACTCTTTTTGTGTATCTTCATCAAACTCTCTGCCCACGCAAAACACGCCATTGTCCTCACATTTGCCTCTATCCCTCTCTCCCCCTCCCTCTCCCTCTCCCCCCCTCCCTCTCTCTGCATAACCACATGTACTGTAAATATAGACCTACACACACACATACATATATATCTATAAATATGTGACACACACACACACAGGTCCATATTCATTAGCAGCCGTTTCACGTTGATGAAATTATAAAGACCATAATTCCACACACTGACACACACACACACACACACACACACACCATGTGTTATACACACACCATGCGTGTTATTAAGTTGACAGTAGCCAACCTCACCGAGGGTTACACACGCGTCTAAATACAGTTGACAAACTACTGTTACTGCCACTATGCACACGCTACACGTACCGGCACACACACACACACACACACACACACACACACACACACACACACACACACACACGCACACGTCTTGATTGGTAGTATTATGGGGATAATAGTTATGGTCTCTTAATGAATGATCGTGTTGACTTAATAGGTTTTTATTCGACGACATCATCCGTCTCAATGAGAGCCTGATGGATTGTGTAAACACTCACACACGTCCAGATTAGCCCCTGTAAAATCACTCATGTGAAATCAGTCATGCAAAATCAGACTGTGTAAAATCAGCAGCACCCTCTAAATGTGCTACGGATATCCCATCATGTGACCTTAGCGTGTGCCATGATGGTGAGGCTAAGATCACATGATCACATGGAGGAGGTCTATCCAGACGTTCACAATCCAATTTAAAAACACGCGGTTTGGCGAAAGCGTTTTTGCCTTTTCAACATGGGGGCGGCCCCCGGTGGGAATTGAACCCCCAACTCTGGCAGTGTTAGCGCCGCGCTCTACCGCAAGAGCCACCGGAGGATCACTAATTCGGCGTGTGTGTGTGTGTGTGTGTTTAACACTTGGCCGGCAGCGTGTGACTGTGTGAGTGGATGTGAACGTGTGCCAAGGTGTTGCACACGGTTCAGGTTGGGATCACCGAGGAGGAACGTTTCCATGCACTACGTTAGAGGAGGAGGAGCACAGAGGAGGAGGAAGCGGTGTCACTATGTTAGAGGAGGAGCACAGAGGAGGAGGAAGCGGTGTCACTATGTTAGAGGAGGAGCACAGAGGAGGAGGAAGCGGTGTCACTATGTTAGAGGAGGAGCACAGAGGAGGAGGAGGAAGCGGGAATACACACATCCCAGATCAGAAGCTGCTTCCGTGCCAACCAGCCTGCCACTATCCAGCCAGTCAGCCATCCTGCCACCACCCCATCCTGCCAGTCCATCCGACTGTGTCAGCAGAACCACACACACACACACACACACACACACACACACACACACACACACACACACACACACACCTGCCTGTTGTTTTATTCATTACTGCGGTAAGCTGTGGTGGCCCTCAGGACACCCAGCCAGCCGCGTATGGAACGTATAGGTGGTGTGGTGTGTGTGTGCGTGTGTGTGCGTGTGTGTGTGCGCACGTGTGCGTGTCTGCGTTTTGATCAATGCATGGACTTCTTGTCCATGTATTTATGTATGAGGGTGTCGCTGAACATAATTCACAATTGCTCCTCTGTTTATGAAATCTCTTGAGTGAGTGCGGGGCAAGTCTGCACACAATTGATTTGTGTGTGTGTGTGTGTGTGTGTGTGTGTGTGTGTGTGTGTGTGTGTGTGTGTGTGTGTGTGTGTGTGTGTGTGTGTGTGTGTGTGTGTATTTAACTTGCCTCGTCACTTTTGTTTAGTCCAACCTACGGATAGTTCCTCCCATTTTACCTCCGCCCAGACATTAAAAAGCGGGTGCATGGCCTTCATTAAGAAGCACAATAGAAAGGCTGGCCAGCGACCCCAGGGGAGCAAACACACGCTGCATGGAGGGGGATGTGATCCAATGCAACCCAGGTGTACATTATTCAAATCTCCTGCTACCCCTCCGGGTTTTTCCGTTTGTTCTTGTAGCTCCTCCAGTGTTGATGCTGTATGCTTCGATTGTTTCCCAGCCTCGCCTGTTGCTGTGTTCACACCAAACGCGAACCGCATTCTTTGCGCGGCGCAATTCCACCCAAAGACGCGAATCTGCGCCGGACGCCACGCGAAGGGACGCAACAGGAAGTGCATGAACAACGTGAAATTTGCAATTTGCGCCATTGAACTTGGACTTTCCTTTCCTCAGTGGCAAAATGTGCATCACGATCCCAAGGTCAAAATTACCGCGTGAGTAACGGCAGACAAAAAAATTAGCTTTGAGTTGCATTGGATAATTTGAATTTAGCTCCAGACATCAGACATCAACATCACTTAGGAGGAGAGAGTTTTGCCATAAACATTGAATCAACAGACGGCTTCCTTCATCGTTAGGCAATTATATTTAATCTAACTATGAATACAGGAATCTGCGTCTGCCATCCCCTTCTCACTCGGTGGATGTATTGCTCAAATTTGGTGCAATTTGGACACGCGACACGTTCAGTATATTAATAATAAACTTTGAATAGAAAACAAGCGCACACCGGCAGTTGACGTCACACCGTGTTGGATTGTGGGTAATGTAGTCTTCTCTTACGTACACAACAGCGGCTCCGACTGGCTTGGCACACGCACCAGTAGCTTAAAACGGCCGAGATAAGTTGCTAACTCCAATCATTGAACTCCATTTAATTCATACTCTGAAGTGTAGATGGTACATTTATTACAAAAGAGGCAATACAAAGACAGTTTCAGATAAAACGTCCTTACGTAAATCTTTCAGAAACTCAACAACAATCAACCCAAAGACTTACGGGAATTTGAAGGTTAATATATCGTTTTAGGCAGGAGACAACAACTCCAATGAAAATTTCAAATGAAAAGCTCGTCAAGAAAGGTCTAAAGAGTCGGCCTTGCGGATACGAGGCGTACGTACAACATGGCAGCCAAACAAACGGAGAGACAGACAGTTATGTTCTTGTCGAGAAACCAGAGATGCAAGTCGGTCTGAATGCAAATCCGTTCCTCGTTGCGGCTGCCAAACATCCGGGTTCAAAACCCATTCAGGTTTTTAACCCTTTCTCCTTTCCAACATTGTTCCTCCACACTATTGGTGGAAAGCAGAATACCAGGATACCAATGCTGGCCATCAGTTTGTACTTGTGTTGGGGGTTAAGTGCCTTTTTTTGTATTTGTATTTGTATTTGTTGATTGGTTTGTCGTCTTAGTTTTAGTGCTGGTATTATATTGCAATCCAAAACTACTATCAATGTTCTAATATTTCCCAACATATTTTGAGAGATGTTATTGACTTATGAGCCCAACCAAAAAAATCGAAATAACCCTATTTTGTTCGTATTATTGTGATTTTTCCCTACTTTGATGTGTACATGTTTGCCCCCATCGCGCCGCTTGTTTGGGTTTCAGACTTCATTATTTCCACTTGTGTCGCCCGAGAACAGCGAGGGAAGGAAGCAAACAACAAAAACAGAAAATCAATTCCAAGAGAAATCTTCCAGTCCCTCGTTCCCTCCTCCCACCACCTCGGTACGTTTCCTTCCTCCTCCTTCCTTCTTACTTTCCATTCTGATCCCTGTATGAAGGCTCATTCTCATTAGTGTCTTAATTAAAGCGGATTAGACGAACTTAAGCGCTGGAATCGAACATTTAATTAACTGTGAGAGACAAAATGGGGGAGTCTATAGGCCTCCCAGTGATGGATCTCTCTCTCTCTGTCTCTCTCTCCCCCTCTCCCTCTGTCTCTCTCTCCCCCCCTCTCTCCCTCTCCCCCTCTCTCTCTAAATTGTATGCACATTGTATAAAGGAAGTGACTGTCGGTCATAGCGATCCATCCTTCTGCTGTTTCCAGGAGGAAACAGGAGGAAATGCCGCAGCCATCCAGAGTGCATCACTGCTTCATGTTCCACCTGCTGGGTTAATCAGCCGTCCAGCGCATCGCATGTTTTAGCGATCCACCTTGTATACTAGTTTTGTGGTATTTCTATCTTAGCCTGATGAGTATAACCTTTAAGTAACCTTATTTTATTGGGTTCACTCAAGCACCAATTTACCTGAGCAGCCCTCTCATGTTGTGGTTTGAGGAAACCTCGGTGTGTTTCTTGGTTCAATTGCTTTGATTTAGTTTAAAAGGTTTTGGTTGGAGGAAGCCTCGCTGGCGATATTTGAAAGAAGACTGTTTGTCTTCTTCATCCCGCCGCTCCATTGTATCGCTCCTTACCTTATTGTATTTTAAATCGCTCTTTGTTCATCCCCTTCCTGCCTTTCCTAATATTCGCTCTGCGGTACTTCTGCTCCTCTCACCCTTAATCCAGGCCCTCTCTCTCGCTCTCACTCCCCATCTCCTCTCCCACGTTTAACCCCTCAAAACACTGGTTTTATCTTGTGTACCATTATATATTATTCAGTCAACTGAAGGTCTAAGCACAGAGATACTTTGAACCTGCTCCAGTTTGAAAGAGCTGCCTGAGAGTGAATAAGAAAAAAGAGGAAGGAAGAAAAACGAAAACAAGGGCAAGAAACAAGGGGAGATGAAATTGGAATGACAAGACGTTTTATAGTCACTCGTCTGTTTCCTTTACCTGTCTCTAACTGCATCTCTCTCACACTCTCACCCAGCTGCCCAGGAGCATACAGCATGACACGGTCCATTCAGGAGAAGGAAGCAGGAGACAACATGAAAGACAGACGAAGAATCAAAGAAATGAGAGGGGGATGCTGAAATAAAAGATGATGGGGGGTGTGAGAAGAAGAAATCATGAGGAATCATCACGGATTCAAGAGAACGTATAAAGTGCACAGCATGGAAAAGTGGAAATGTGTGTGAGAGAGAGAGAGAGAGAGAGAGAGAGAGAGAGAGAGAGAGAGAGAGAGAGAGAGAGAGAGAGAGAGAGAGAGAGAGAGAGAGAGAGGCTTATGGAGAACAGGCTGGAAATGTCTCAGGCACACATAGGGGGAACAGCCTTAGCAGTGAGCCGGACATATCTGTCTCTCTCTCCCCCTCTCCCCCTCTCTCTTCTCTCCCTCTGTCTGAGGGGCAGAGGGTATTGTCCCTGAATGACTAAAGCGTGCAGGAAACATCAAGTGCTCTGTCAATACAACGTCAATACACACATAATATATCCTAGTAGATCTGGGAGAGAAGAATCCAGAAGCAGAAGAATGAGACAACAAGAGTACAACAACAACCCCCAGCACTGTTGTTTCTTCTTTAGCTGTGTTAGCTTCTTTAAAGCTCAGCAGTGGTGTGCTGTGAATGACTCATGACACACACACACACACACACACACACACACATGCATGCACACACACACACACACACACGCGCATCTATCTATATAACTGCCTGTCTGTCCATCCGACTGTCTCTGTCCATCTGTCTTCTACATCTCTATGTAATATATCTCCCCGCTCCATGTGTGTGTATGAGTGAGTGAGTGAGTGAGTGAGTGAGTGAGTGAGTGAGTGAGTGAGTGAGTGAGTGTGTGTGTGTGTGTATGCATGCATGCATGCGTGTGAATGTGTGCGTGCGTGCGTGCGTGTTTGTCACTCTGAATGGGATAGGGGATTGCAGGCCAGATTCTGTCCAATCCGATTGCCAAATCTAAACTCGGATTTGATTTTTCAATTCACAACTTCAAAGGCGAGTCAGGGGGTGAAAATAGACGAGAAAACTCACACACACTCGACTTCTCTGTCTGTCTACTTGGATATTGTATCCAATCCTGTCCGTTTGTACGTCTCTTTATAGTTCGGCACCATTTCGTTTCTCCACCTATTCGCCTGCTAGCTTTCATATATCTTCTCCCGGTTATTTCCATTGAGACCGCTATACTTTCCACCGGCTATGATCCTGTTCTAAACTTTATTGTTTGACGTGG